GAGATGTAAATGTGAGTGTGTGTGTACACACACAGCAACTCACAGACATATTTTATTTTCCAGCTGTGTCTACAGAGAATGTTTGGGAACACTGACAACCCTAAGAGCAGTGAGCACACCTAGTCTCCAGACCTGTTTCTAAATGGGGCAGAAGTACAAGATAAGCTTGGAACATCTTGTGCCAGAAAGTAAGAAAGTGCTCAAAGAATGCTAGGGCCATGACAAGAATCTGTGAGAGGCTCTATTGGCAAAACAGGGATAACTTGAACATAATAAGAGTAACAGGTGTAACACAAGGCATGAAGTAGCAAACCATGAATGTATGCTGATGTAAATAGGCAATATAAACCAGATATTATTCTTACAGTTGAATGTGCCACTAATATAGTGTATCCCAGCTTACAATGGTGCAGCTTATGATTGTTCAAATTTATAGTTGTACAGAAGCGACATTATGTTCAGCAGAAACCATACTTTGAATTTTAAACTTTTTCTGGGCTCGGAGTAAGCACTCTGATTCGGTCTTGTGATGCTGGGTGGCAGCAGTGAGCCACTGCTCCTAGTCAACCCTAGGATCACCAGGGGAAACAGCCAGATCTTCACAGGGTGCTGTGTTGCTGATAATGTTCTATAGTTTATGTGTATTGTTAAATACATGTTCGACTTAACAGTATTTTTAGTTTCCAGTGGGTTAACAGGGTGTGAGTTGAAGAGCATCTGTAAATGTAGAAGAAATGGTAGCAATTTTGCCAGGGTACATCTCCTGACTAACCGTGAGAACACACTAGGCAAACCCAAATTGTGGGTGATTCTATAAAACAACTGGCCTGTAATCAAAATTCAGAGAAAGAAAGACTGAGAAACTGAGATGGAAGCAACAAGAGGCTTGATAACTTTGTGATCTTGTGTTGGATCTTTCTGCTATAAAGGATATTGTTGAGACAGTTGGTGAAATTTGAATGGAGCTTTGGATCATTGGCAGTGTCATATCCATATTAATTTCTCAATACTGGTGGTTGTATTGTATCTCTGAAGGAGAATATCCTTGTTTTAGGATTTATGTGCCAGCAGTCCTTGTTGCCAGGCGTGATGGTGCACACCTGTAATCCCAGTGGCTCTTCTGAGGCAGGAGAATTGAGAGTTCAAAGCCAGCCTCAGCAGTGGTGAGACGCTAAGCAACTCAGTGAGACCCTGTCTCTAATAAAATACAAAAATGGGCCGGAGATGTGGCTCAGTGATCAAGTGCCCCCAAGTTCAATCCCTGGTGTCCCCCCCCCAAAAAAAAAAAAGAAGAAAAGAAGTATCATGTCAAAAACCTACTCACAAATGGTTCATGGGAAAAGGACTCTGAGTTTGAAATTACTTTAAATTGTTTTCTGGAAAATAGTAAAATAATGTTCTTCCAGGCACCTTTACCATAGAGAATTTATTTCCTTTCAAAACTACAAAGACGATATAAACCTACCACAGGACAGTGTTTCCTTATTGGGATTATTGGGATTTTGGTGAAAGCAATAAGCTTACAGACAGTCCATAAAAGAAGAAAAATTTTAATGCACCCATATACACAGAATCAGTTAGTGGCTCGTATAGTTGTGTATCTACTCAGGTTCCTGGATTTGTCACCTAAAGTCATTTGAGCATTTTTCAGGATTTAAGAGCAACATCCTAGAAAAGGGAATGTTTGAGTTTTTTGTTTTCATTGTTCTTTTTGCAAAGTAAGAATGTAGGCCCTGGAACCAGGCTGCCTGCTTTGGAATCCTGGCTACAACTTAAAGAAGATATCTGACTCTGACAAAGTATTTGATTTTTTTCCCTTGGTCTTGAGGAAAAATTGGAATAATAATGTTGAACTCACAAGTCTGTCAACCGGATGAATGAGAATAATATATTTAAAAGTACTTAGATTGTGACATGTAGTAAACACTCTATAAAGTTGGTAATTATTTCTTAAAAAGTTAAAATGCTTTTATTAAATCATTCCAGTATGATTATGTTGGCTTTCTTTTCTCTTATCCTTTCAGAGGTCTTAAAAGTTGTGGCTTCTGCTCGTAAGTCTATCCTAAAGATCATACTGAAGTCTAGAAATGGGGCATAGTCTAAAAGACAATAGGCAAGCTAGGAGTGGTAGTGCATGACTTCATCCCAGAGACTCAGGAAGCTGGGGTAGGATCACAAGTTTGAAGCCAGCCTTGCCACCTTAGCAAGGTCCTTAGCAACTTAGCAAAACCCAGCTTTATATATATATGTGACTGCATGACCAATGCAATTCTGCAACCTGTACACTCAGAGAAATGAGAAATTATATCTTGACAAATCCAGGAACCTGAGTAGATAGATACACAACTATATGAGCCTCTAACTGGTTCTGTATGTATGGGTGCATTAAAATTATATCATTCAAATGTATGATATGTCAAGATCATTGCACTGTCATGTGTAACTAATTAAAACAAAAAATATGAAACTATAAAAAAAATTATTTTAAAGGTTTGGGAGTGTAGCGCCTGTGTGTTAAATCCCCAGTACCCAAAATAAACAAAGAAAGAACAATAGATAATGCAGTGCAAAACAATGGACTTGGGCTTTGGAGAACTAACACTGATTAAATTCCAAGCTGCCACATACAGACTTTATGGCATTGGTCTTGATCTGTAAAAATGTCTATTATGTACATATAATCATAGTGATCATAAGGTTTGTTGGTAGCCGGGTATGGTGGCTCACACCTGTAATCCCAGCAACTCGGGAGGCTGAGGCAAGAGGATTGGAAGTTCAGAGCCAGCCTCAGCAAAAGCGAGGTGCTAAGCAACTCAGTGAGACCTTGTCTCTAAATAAAATACAAAATAGGGCTGGGGATGTGGCTTAGTGATCGAGTGCCCCTGAGTGTTCAATCCCTGCTACCCCCCTGCCAAAAAAAAAAGGATTATTGATGGTTAAGTGAGATAATCTTTGCAGAACATCTACTTGAGTGACCAACCTAAAGAATATCCTCAAGCCAAGCATGTTAGCACACACCAATAATCCAAGCAATTTGGGAGGCTGAGGCAGGAGGATCCCAAGTTCAAGGCCAACCTCAAGAATTTAGCAAGATCCTGTACCAAAATAAAATTTTTAAAAAAAATTATAAAAGGGACTGGAGATGTAGGTCAGTGGTAAAGTACCCCTGAGTTAATCCCCAGAACCTAAATAAAGTCTAATGCTTCTGACTATCATAGACCATAAGAAATTTAAGAAAAAATTAAAAAGTGATATTTTAATTACTCCTTTAATAAAGGAGTATTTTCATTAGAAAACAAGCCTTGAGATCAGAGATAGCAGCAGAAGGCTTGAGGGCATGATTGAAATGTGTGATAAGCTCCTTACTGTTCCTGCAGAAGTTTAAGCATTCCTGAATGGGTTTAAGTTGCTTCAGAGGGAATTTCCATTGACAAGAAGCATGTCATGTGTTGGGTAATGCCATTTTCAAGAGATTCAGGAGAAGGAAAGATAGCAATCTTTCTAGAACAGTGTGGGTTTAATGCATACCAGCCTTGGAGCGAGAGACGCAGGACAGAATGCTTAGTCCAGCCCCATCTTTGTGAAAACCATGTTGATATTCTTGGCTTTAAAGATGTGAAGCTCTACCCCACAGGAGAGTTATGTCAGTTGCATAATTAAAGTGTATTTGTACATTTTTTAAAATTTTTTAAACATTTTATAATTGTAGTTGGACAGAATACCTTTATTTTATTTATTTTTATGTGGTGCTTGGGATCAAACCCAGCACCTCGCACATGCTAGGCAAGCGCTCTACCCACTGAGCCACAATTTTAAAAGAAAAAATGTGCTTGCTTTAGAGAATGTTTCTTCACCTCAAATTAATGGCTTTTGGCTATTGATCTAGGACATCTTTAGAACTCTTGAGTTTTATTAACCATTTTCCTGTTACACTTCCTTCTGCTTTAATTTATTCACTCTTTTATTTATTCATTTTCAACTTATGCCATATGTTGAAAACTCCTAATAGTTCGAGGCATTCTGCTGAATGTTAGTTCTAAAAAACTTTACAGAAAGACTACCTCACGGAACAAGATTCAGATTCTACTGCTGTTGTGACCTCTGGTGGGTTTTATGGAAGCTCTCTGCAAAGGAGCATACTTTGAACCATTTTTAAAAACCGTATTATTTTGGCTACAGATACATACTTGGTGTACATGGAAACAGGCTTGTTTGCACATTTCCTGGACTTTCCAGACAGAGATTTCCTTCCAGCAGCATTCTTTATGCGCAGTGAACAGCAGTGTGTGACTTGCACGAGAGGTTCCCGATGTCCGTAGTTCCCATGAAATTAAACTTGGGCTGATGGCTGATTGAATCTGTTATGAAATAGAAGCTGGTGATGTTGTTGCTTTTAATCAATGGGAGGAGATTTTTCCTTTAAAAATAAAAATCATGGTAATGTTCACTCTCTGAGCCGACTAGTGGCACAAAGGAAAACTGCTGCTCAGGTCTGAATCGCCAAAGGAAGAAAACTGCAATTACTAAACATTTCCCTGTTACAAAGAGCGTTGACCCTGCCAATGAGAGCCCTATGCAACAAAAAGCACACCACAAAAATACTTCGGTAGCTCAGTGACTTGCATTTCATCCAGCTATGTTAGTAGCAGGTTTATTCAGTGTGGTGCCTCTGCTTCCTTTAGATGTCTTAGCCTGCCGTTTGTTTAGCTAGAGAACTTAATGAGTAATGAATGTGCTCCTCTGGCCGATACAAAGCATTTCCACAGCCTGCGGCTGTGTTTATGGAGAGACCGAGAAAGACCACAGGCAGCAGTTTGTCTCCTTAGGTATCAGCATAGTCTTCTCTTCTAACAACTAGAGGATTTATTTTTAACTGCTTGACTCAGTGTTTGTCAGATGATTCGGACCATCAAACTGCAGATTGAAGCACCCAGTGCGGGGGAAGCTGGAATGGCAAGAGGAAGGGGGCTGGCTGGGAAAAGGGGTGGGATTTTAGAATCGTGCCTCACAAGCTCTGCCTCCCGATGTGGGAGAGAGTCGAGGCTTTCCAGCAGCATGAGTGTGTTTGCAGGTCAATCTGGGAACTCCAGGGTAATGGCTGCCTTCAGCTACTTAAAGACATAGTTGCCAGCAATCGGAGTATTGTGAGGAGCAACCAAGGACTAGGGGCCAGAGTATTCCGAGCACCGCTCTCTGCCATCCTGCCAACCGAGCCTTTCTCCTGCTGGATGTTGCCTGTCTCCGGAAGCCTCTCACCATGATCGATAGCTCCAAGAAGCAGCAACAGGGTTTCCCAGAAATTTTAACTGCTGGAGATTTTGAACCTTTAAAAGAAAAGGAATGCCTTGAGGGGAACAACCAGAAAAGTCTCAAGGAAGGTCAGTCTGTCTGTGGATAGGGGCAGGATGGCCAGGTTCCCATTCCCATCTACAGGGCAAGCTTGTCTGTCTGCTTGCTATCCATGTGTCTGCTCTCTGTTCGCCCAGAGCCCTTATGTGGTCCAAGTTCTGTGCAGTGAAAGCATGAGGCACTTACTTAAGATTCATTAGCTGATAGAACTCCGGGGATTTTGCAGTGATTGATAGTAAGGGGACTTAAGAAGCCAGTCTTAATTTTAACAGAATCTTTCCAGGTTCATTTTGTATATTTTCTCATTTTTCCTAATTTTTTCCCCCACCATCATGGTTTTTTGGAGAGGACATTTCCTTTTCAGTATTAGCCAAAACACGGCTTCTTTTAGGTTTTTAAACACACAATTCCAAGGAAATTAATTTTCCCCAATTAACATGATAATATTTTATTATCTGAAGCCAATAAAGTAGCTAGCTAGCTCTTTCTGAATTAAATCCTAAAACGGTGGATTATTTGGTTGTGATGTGCATTGCATCATTTTATTTTAAGAAGCATAAAAACATTTGGAGTTTGTTTATTTTAACAAAGCAATCAAAGAATAAGCTTGTACTGTCAATTATTCTTGTTGGTGACCACTGCTAACACATGTACCTCACTGGTTGATTTTTTTAAATGGCCAAAGATATGGCATTGCTGTTCCCTGTCCTGTCTAATCATACTGAAGTGTGGCAAGCCCTATGCAAGGCTGCTTTGCTGTAGCATCCAGAGATCTAGGGCTATGGTTTAAGAAATTCAGGGTCTGTAGAAAGTAAGTTTTTCCTAAATTTGAAACATGAGGGCCACCTCTACCAATTTAATATGAAAATTGCTTTTTTTTTTTTCATCTTCTTTGGGAGACACAGACCCCCATAGTAACTCTGTTTTTCTTTTTCTATGCTTCTAGCTCCATTAGCCACCCCTTGTCTCCCCTCTGGCTCTTGCTCATCTTATACAGAGACCCAGAGTGTAAATGTAGTTTGTCAGCCTAAGTCGCTCTTTGAGCTTCTTCCAAAAGCTTACATCTCCTTTTTTTCTGTGAGGCATTTACAATGGATGAATGTGATGACAAGAGTATTACAGACTTAAAAGATAAGAAACAATAGCTGGACTTGCTGGGGTTGAACTACTTTTGGGTATGGGTAGAAAAACACCTAGATCGAAACAAATGACACACAATAAAATATAAATAGCTGTTGCTAAGAACTGAACAGTGGGTTGCTTCTGCTTGTGCACAGCATGCATTTATTGTAGATTCTTATAAAAATCAATGCCAGTCAGATTTTTAGGACATATTTCAGGAGACTCATTGAAAGGAACTTAAAAATTTTTAAATGTTAATTTAAAAAATTTAATAAGGCTTATCTATGTATCACTTATGTCAAATTTAAGCACTGAGCTTCTATTAATACCATATATTGAAAAGAGGTTTTGTACTACTTGAAAACCCAGCAAAGTAGAGGAAAATGAAATAAAAAGAATCAAAACAGCCAAGTATGATTAAGGAGCTTAGAAAGCAAGGATTAAAAGTAAAAAGACAGGGAATGCGGGGGTGTAGCTCAGTGGTAGAGTGTGTGCCTATCTCTAGGTTCGGTCCCTAATACGCTAGTTGGTAAGTAGGTAGATGAAAACAGGGTAGGAGTCAACAGCGAAGTAGAGCCGAGATGATTACATAATGTATGGAGTCTTCCTAACAATTCTGGGGCTTATACAAGAGCAGTAGTATAATGTTGACTGGGCAAAAGAACATGGACTGAGAAAGAGGTCCTCAGGTTCAGATATCAAGACACAGCTTACTAGTTTTGTGTCGCTGGACAGGTTCCCTGCTCTGAACCTCAGTTTCCTCAATTTTACAAAGAGGATATACAATATTAACTTCCTACTATTTTTATGAGATACCAGGTTTAATATCAATTTCTCATCCTCTCCTCTTATTTACCTTATTTTAATCCTTTGTTACTTTTTTCTTCTATTTAAAATTTGGTATATAGTTTCAAAGTAGAAAAGTAGTCTGTATATTATTGTCTGGTAAATTCATAGGTATAAAGAGGTAGAAGAAGAACTTCCATGTTTCAAAACATTCCACAGAAATGACTGGATAGTAAAATTCATCTGTTTCACCAGTTTTCACTGACGGGATTTTGATTACTATCTTACCAGATCATATCTCTGCTCATTTTTTGCAAATAATACAGACTTATATAAAAAGTGGTCAGCTAATTCAGGGGCATCTTGTGGAAAGCTGCTTTTTTTTTTTTTTTAAATTGGGAGTCATTTGAAAATGACTTTTGTTTCCTCTGAAAAACTGAACTACTGAATTTCAGTGTGTCACAGTTACTGCCTGCAGATTGACCATCAATTGTCAGCTTAAGAGGTTGGCAGACAAAATCAAGACAAGCACCTGGGCAGCTTTGTCTGCTTTTAGGTATTGGCTCATATGCATCAGTTGTGTTAATTCCTGAAGGACTATGATATGACATGACATGATATGACAGCAGTTGTTCAAAGATCTCTGAATGGTTTCAAAATGCCCTAGAGTTTAATTATGCTGTTTTGTCAAATGGGACAAATACACAAGACTGTTAATACTGCCTCATAGTTTATGCCTCCTTGGTTAAGGGACACTTATTAAAGGTGTTATATTTCACATCAGTATTGTTCAGTTTTCTACTCATTGTTGGCAAGGTTAGTTTTTGTTTGTTTGAAAAACAACCTCTAGAATTTTTTTAAATGTTTGAATTGTAAGTTTCTCGTAATAAAAGAAGAATAAATGTTAGTTTGATCCTAATCATATGGACGCCAATTTGGTCTCAGGAGTTGCCAACTTATAACGACTCTAAGGGACTATAAGTGTACTCTGCTTCTTACTGGCTTGCTGATATTGAGATATCTTCGAATTCCTGTAATTATTGACAGTGCTGATTGTCTGAGATTATTGTGGGATAGGGGAAGAAAATATACTTTGTAAGAAATAATCATAGGAGTCAAGAATTTATGTAATATCTTAACAAGAAAATGTAGTAATACATTCTGGGGTTTCGTTTTGCTTTTGTGGTGCTGAAAATCAAACGCAGGGCTTCTCGAATGCTAGGCAAGCACTGTACCATTGAGCCACATCTTCAGTTTGAAGGAAAGGTCCTACGTTCAACACCTATGAATGAAAAGTTGTCATCATATGCCAGGGAATTGTTTGGACAATAAAGCACATCACCTCACAATTCTGTTAATGCTTACATAAACATTTTGATAAATACCAACCAACGTGTGTAGTTGGAGAACTTAATTTCTACTCCAGGTGAGAGTAGCAATAAAAGTCACCCATTCCCCTGAACAAATTCAAAATAGTGCAGTCCCTTTAAATTAATTTCTTTGTTCAAAGCAGCAATGGGAAATCTCAGCTTCTAATTTGTCTCCAAAACACTTTGAACAATTTCTAATTATGTTGAACACGAGATTTAAATTTAATTTCTACAGCAGCAACCAAGAAGGATGTTACAAATCACTCTGTGACAACAAAAAATTGATAATTATGAATTTTCAGGAAAAATCAACTAAATTGAGATGATTTAATTTATTTAAACATTTTAATATGTCATTGAGAGAAATAAATCATAATTCCATTGCTACAAATAAGTTATCTTCCATATTTATCAAAGGTAAAATGATAGTAAATGAATTTAAAAAAGGAAAGATTGATATTCCATATAAAGAGTTCTCTATTGTTGAAAATAAGGCACCACAGAAGGAAAACTGACTTGTGTATTAATTTCTTGGGCTTAAAGTGCTCTAACAACCCCAAAATGCAGTGTTCTAATCACTCAAATTGCAGCTCTTGCTCAGAACACACTCAATTGGGTACTGTGTCTTAGGCAACTGTCCTCTAAGAAGTGACTCGGAGATCTGGGCTCCTTTTATTGTGTGGCTCAACCATAGCATGGGTAGCAAGGAAGAGCTACAGATTTGGGGGGTATCCCCACAAACCACATACTCAATTTTGCCATGGAGTTACAAAGAATAGCTGAGATAGAGCATTTGAAAGTTTGTGGTAGTTGCCCAGGAAACATGGAGTAATTTAATATGTTGTGCTGGTACATATCTGTGGTAGATTTATTTAGAAGAAAATGAACATTTGACATATTTTGAGTGATCCTAGAAATATAGGTTATAGTGACAGTATAGTAATATAGATTAAATATCTTTGCCAAAGCACCAAAACTTTGAAGTAATGGAAATAAACATATATAATTCTACCTGAACTTTCCACTAGCCACAGATAGGCATTTAAATTTAAAATAGGACCTGCATTTGGTTTTTGTCATCTGCCACTTGAAATGAAGCTGGATATGGTGGCATGAACCTGTAGTCCTAGCTAATCAGAAGACTGAGGCAAGAGGATCATTTGAGACCACCCTGGACAACTTGGTGAAACCCTGTCTCAAATATATAATATAATATGTTCAGTTTTCTACTCACTATTGGCAAGGTTAGTTTTTGTTTGTTTGAAAATTAAATTTAAATTTGTTTATTTAAAAATTAATTATTTAATTCATATATATATACATGTATATATATATATGAATTAAATAATTAGAAAAAAAATTAAAATCCTGCTCCTCAGTTAATTTGCCACATTTCAGCTACTGGGTTGAATTGTGAGATTGTCAGTTGCTGCCACTAAAGTCTTCCATCAATGAGTGTCTACTGCATAAGGCTGCTCTAGGCTTTTCTCCTGACACCTGGCTTTGCAGGCCCAGAGTCTCTTAAAACTCAGTTCCTGTGCCATTTCCTAAAGACAGTTACTTGATCTCATCAGCTGAAAATACTTATTTTCCCCTGTATGTTCCCTGGAATTTTATCTGAGTCTTTTTATAGCATTCCCCCATAGTCCATTGTGATATACATCTGTCCTGCCTTTACTATTAAACTGTAGCATTTGTTGGGGATAAAATTGTCTGGTCCACTTTTGTTCCTCATCCCCAAGGTCCTGCCT